TGGGGTAAAAGCTCCATGAAGTCCCTAGGCACATATCTACTGTCACTGACTGCGTGTCACATGTGCTTAACACCATAATGATGATCAGAAGTATCAAACTCTCCAGCTGATATGAAGCTTCACCTCCTTGACACCTGCCTCTTTTCAATGGTGCAGGCTAGGTGCTGGCATCAAGAAGCCATAGGCCAGGTCAAGGGCCACAGTACTAGACACTGGATACAGCTATCATAGAAAGAAATTTGGAGCCACATTGCAGCAATATTACATTGTTGTGGGATATTTTAGTTTTTAATTGGGAAAAACAAACAAACAAAAAAAAAACAACCCTGCAGATATCTGATGCTCTAGGCAAATGTACAAAGCACTCTTAAGAATACAATAGCCATTCAAATGGGAACATTATTAATTAAAACCCTCCACATACTGTACAAATGAAACGTTCTTCTCTCTACCTACTCAAGTCATTCATTCAGAAAAATCCTGGGAAAATAGTTAGGCTTTGCAATGTGCCCCATGGGTCAATGTATTCAGGCTCCAACAGACCAAGTAGGAGGAGTGAGTTCCAGAACAGGGAAATCTTCATTGCAAACTCCCTCTCAAAGAGAGTGCATTCAGAAATGTGCACAGCACGCTTACAGAAAAATGGCACTGGCCCTTTCCCCAGCTCAAATTTTAAATGAGTCCTTTAATATATGTATATCCAACTAAGGAAGGGATGCTGACCTATGCTCCTGTCTGAAGCACAGCAGTAATAAGGACTTTGAAGCCCTGTAGGGTTTTCAGACCCTCAGCTTGCCTGCCTTTTTTTTTTTTTCCCTCTACTGTATATATCATTATGGTATGGATTTATACCACAACAACCCCTTTCCTCTGTGCTCTACTATCCCATATCCCCTTTAATTAATGAAAGCGTCATTCTTGAGAGTTGAACAGTCCCTGGGCAGCTCATGTGTTTTATATGTTACAAAAAGCATCCGTGAGTTCTGATCTGACAACTGTTTACTCTTCCTACAGTCCCGTATCAAAAGTCCCCTTGTCATATAGGGCTGGGTCAAAGTCTGGCTAGAGAAGCCAGTGCCAAACTTCCCTCATGCTTTCCAGTTTGGTGTTGTATTTCAGATCCATCCCCTAAATCAGACTGGCTTTCAGTATTCTGATCAGAACAATCCCTATCTTCTTTGCTTGCTGGCTGCAAAACAGTAGGAAGATTGTCAATACCCTGCCCACGCCCCAATTAAAAATCCAAACTCAAATTTACTATTTCAAACATTATTTAAAATATATTAAGATAGTCAGTCTGTTACTGTTGCTCATTACTCTGTTGAAACCTAATATTAGTAACAGCATGTACAGAGGACCTGGAGCATGAATTAATAATGAAGTGCTTGTGCTGGAAAACATGCGGGAGCCTGGTTCCCTGGGCTGGCAGCCGGCCGGCACAGACTGGTTTGCTTTTCTCTACACAGTGATCGAATCATCTGCTCGACAAAATCATCAGGAAGGAAAGTATTTCTGATTAGTTTTCTTCCTCTGGTGATCATTTACCAAATGCAGTGAAGAAGAAAGACAAATAGAAATGAAGGGATCCGCAATGGGAAAAAGGGCTTTAAATCAATAGTAACATACTGGCGATCAGATGGGAGTAGGGATGGTTTCTGAGCCTGATCCTGAAACGGGCGAGGACCCCCATGTTCTCACTGCCCTTCCCTTGTACATATACCCTTTTCTTGAGGCTTTAGAAGGGTGTTTTCCCCAGTTCTCACTGTCCTAAGAGAAAATAGATCTGAACAAGAGTATAGAGAAATAACTAAGGCTTATCAATGCTCTTGGCCTGAAGCAAAGGTAATAGAGGTGCTGCAGGTTTTCTGTACATATGAGCAAGCAGTTAGCAAGTCACTGGGGTGACTGAGTCACACCTCTTATGGTGATGCCAGGATCAGGAACAGACATGCAAGCTAGGAAGTATCTGTATCATTTATAGCATGCAATACCTATATATTTATATTTATATATAATATGTGTGCGTGCCTATATGTGCATCTAAAATTCTATTACAGCCGTATAAGCATATGTGCAACAATACTACAGCTAGATCAATGATATAGTATAGAATTAGGTGTGTTTAGTTTCACATATGTATATATGCATACTCCCTTCTCACGCGTGCTTTGCAGGAAGCCGGCTTTCATCTGTCCTGATGGTGCCCCGTGCTGGCCTCCTCCACCCATGCACGCTTTTCTCCCAAGGCTGAGCACAGCCACCTTTGTGTTGCTTCCTCTGTGCGTGGAGGAATGCCTTCAACATTTGTAGAAAACAAATAATAGTTGTTGAAGTAGTTCGTGCCCTGAAACTTTAGCTGCGCCCTGCTCTCACACACTGCTTTGCTTTAGGGTGAACAAACTGCTACCCACAGAGAATTCCGCTCAGTGTTCTGTTCTGTAGCTACTGCCTTGTTCTCACACTGTAAATTAAAAGCCGTGAAGGAGAAGGAAATTTCCCCGGCTAAATGAGAGAAATTATCACATAATTTAGTGTAATTTTTGGTGCTGGGAACAGTTTTCTCTGTGCACCTGTTAGGGGAGAGAAACAAGGCTGCCTTAACCATCAATCTGTAGGACCTCAGAGCTCAGCCTGAAAGCAAGGGTGAAACGAAATACGAAAATTGCAGTGCAGCAGAAGAGGAGTCAGCTATCTGAGGGCCTCTGCTGAAATCCCATCTTTTGGGTAGGATTTCTTGTGCATTTTCGTGTTTTGGTCACCTGACAGTAGCTCTCTGGCCTAATTGGCTTCCTAGTTAACAGACTAAGTAATGATGTAACAAGAGTGTGTGGGAACCAGACCTGTGTGACAGATACAATTTTTCCCAGCCATACTAATTTTGCCTGCTTACCTGGTTCTGCTGCTGGCTATCTGGAAATTTGAACTACTTAAAGGATATAATGAGCTTACAAAAAGTGGAGATACAGCTTAGTCCTTTAACATAAAATTGTCACCAGTCACAAAAGGTATTAACTTGTGAAGTCCAATTATTTTTCTCACTAAAAAAACTGCTAATTTTAATAGATACGTTTGTGTCTACAGCTTTAGTTTACTTTCTCTGCAGTTGGCTACAGTGAGAATTAATTGCTGGTGTCCTAAAAGAGAAGATTAACTTGGTCTGATTGCAAGTGTCTCAATATCTAATTTTATCTCTTCACTCCCTGCCATCCCAGAGTGCTCTCACAGAAACTGTTGCCCATTTGTGCTAGTCATGTGTGTAGCTTCATGTTGCTGCTATTGCTCGAGTGACACAGCTTCAGAAAGGCTCCAGCTAAGATCAAGGTCCTATGGAACTGGGCAACCTTTACAGAGATTTACATACAAGTTTTATGTTTGTAGGAATGCCTCTAGGTGTTGTTTTACTTTGCACCTTCAGACTTGTTTGATATACGGAAAAAAAAAAACCCGAGTGTAAGAGCAAGAAGTTGGACTCCTGTGTTGATGTGAAACTGTTTTATATTCTCCTTGAAAACAGGACACTTAAATGTGATGACAAATCACGAAAGCAGCAGGGCTTTGCATACACTTGATGTGGTTAATCCAGTCAGTAAATGTGATGTAAAAAAAGGGCACCCTGTAGTGTTTTGGTATCTTTCTATCTGAAGCATATACGATGCCTAACGTGCATGCAATGGATCCGGGGCCTGACATCTATTTAAACTCTTTGGGAGCAATATCAAACATTAATGGGGATTAGTGTTAGAACTGGTGTAAACATAGCAAACAATCTGCTCTAAGTGTATGCTCACATTTCCATATGTTATGTAGGTAAGCAGAGCCATTGCAGAGGAAAGAAACCCCGAGAGGCAGCTCTGAGCTCACTGCTGCTGGGGCTGGTGAAGGCAGGCACGCAGGGCATAGCTCACATGATAGCTACATGCTCATAAAGTGCTACATCTAGAGCTGCCTTTTACTTTTGTAGAAGTTAAGTAGGATTTAAAGAGATGCAATTGCGTTGTGCAAAGCCACCAAAAAAACAGATAAAAATGATTTAGTACTTCCAGGTGCACTGCAATTCTTGGCAGAGAAACTAATTCCAGGTGTGTAACTTCAAAAATAAATAAATAAATAAAATCTAGCCCCGTTGTCAAACCTGGATAAAATCGTCAAGTTAGGAAAATAGAAGCTAAAGAGGAACAAAGTCCAAAGTATAACTGAGGAGAGACAGCCTTGCCATTGAAGAAATTATTGCGTATAAGTGAATCTCTCTATTACTTAAGTAAACATAGCTTGATTCTGGGCAGTATTTCAAAAGAGATAAAGCTTTTGCAAGCATGAGCACAGAGAAAGATGACATATTCACAGTGGGAGGTATGAGGTGGGGTTGCCAATAGTGCCAGAATTTATCTCACACAAACACGCTCAGGGCCAGACCGAAAGCTGCTGAAGCAAAGAGCAAGTCTTTCCACTGTCTTCAGCCGGCTTTGTAGTCATCACGCCAGGAGAAAGGAAAAAAAAATACGTTTGTTTCCTTATTTGTGGCCAAATCATTTACACATTTTCCTTCTCTTTTTAAGCCTGGGGAACTCTTGTCATTGACTTCCTCGGGGGCAGGTCCTTAATCAACAGATCAAAATATAAGCTGTACCACCAAATGGAAAATACTATTATAACAGCTAAAGTGATTTGCTTGAGCAGCACATGTGGTATGGGATATTATTATTCCATAATAGAATACACATTGATTCGTTTGCCACTTTTTTTTTTTTTTTTTTAAGAAAGAGCTTTTATTTATACAACGTGTTTATGGACAAATATGCATTGAATGCTTTGTAAGTCCTATTATTGTTTGTTTTTATTTCCACATGTTCAGATGAAATGGCCTTTAGTGGGACTAAAAACTTACAGCCCTAATGGAAGCCCTTACAGTTGGTGCCAGTTTTATATCTTGCAGGGGCTGCTGTCACTATATGAATATCCTGGAGGTCAAGTTAATTATTATTTTTTTAAATATTTTGCAGGCTCTGTGCAATTCAATACAGTGTCACACTTGGTGCGTGCCAGCTTTGCGCCTGAAGTAAAAGAGCCAGGGAACTGTACCAGATCAGACCTCCGAGGAAGAAGCTTTTGCTGGAATCCATGACCACACAGAAGGAAAATGGAGACAGCAACCTTGTCTCCCAAAGGTACCTGTGAAAACTCCCAAGGAATCAGTGTGCAAGCTACAAATGAGACAGATTTGATGGGAAAGTTTGGTTTTCCTAGCAGCTGGGCTTTCAGTTGCTGTGATCAGTGGCCGGGTACATGGCAGAGTGTTTGGTTCAATTTGCTCCTGTGAACCAACTTTTTTTCTCTTCCTATAACCTAGATTTAACAAAAAGGGGCTTGAGAAACCCAATCCTTTCTCAGACATACAATCACTCCCTGACTTTCAGTACTGCTGTCATCCATGTGAGCCAAGATAGTGTTGTGCCTGTGATAACACGGGCATTTTGGTGATACAAATATAGCGCAGGTGAATATGAAAACCTTTTTGCCCTTACCCTGAGCTTGCTGGGCTGGGTGGCCATTCCTTATTGCAGAGGAGCAACAAGGTATGACTCTGTGCACAGGGAGAAGCAATTAACAACCCAGCTGTGATTGCACAGGGCTTTCTATAGCCTCTCTCTCTTGTTTCCCACACACACTATGTGCACATAGGGGAGGGGAAGGGGCTTTTCATTTCCTTTCTCTCCTCGCTCCTCTGATTGCACTAAGTCGGTACAGAGATCCTTATCTCAAAGCAAAGAGAAAAGTGAAATCTCCAGTTTTGTCACTGTCTGAGTGCTCTGTAATATCTAGGGAGTTCAGCAGGCACTGATTTTCCCTTCATGGCATGGCTGTAAGTTAGAGGCGTTCGTTCTGTTCAGAGCACAGCATTAGGGCAGGCTGGGTCCCTATGGAGTAAAGGTGTGTCAAACCTGGCTGGTTTGCTTTTGTGATACTGTGATAAATCTGTTTTCTACTGAAAAACACTGAGGAGACATTTTCGTTTTTACCTATCGTTTCAGACTCTCCAGATTATTAATGCTGCATAAATATTAAAAGCTTGTTATTTACATTGGAATCATTATCTTTATAGATATCAGCGCTTGTTAAGAGATTCATAATGCATAATTCATTGAACCAATTCTGCCCTTTCCTCTGTTTGTTATTCACCTGCAAACAGATTTCGATTTTTTGCAAATTTGTTCATTATTCAATCACTCCAGGCTCTCTTCATGAACACATTTTAGTGGTGTCCTTTGCTCAAACTATTGTCTTCTACCATATTCTTATCAATTTGTTTCTGTTGTTGCTTGCACAGTGTAATTGAACATTTAATAACAGATTTGAAACTCCCATTGACTTTAATCAAGATATACAGGGTAGCTGTGAAGATTCATGCTAATGCTTCTGATGCTGTAATATGCAGCTGCTGACAGCATATGCATTGTGGTCACTCACGTAGCAAGAACTGCCTTTTATTCCCACTCATTGGAAACAATAATTGATGGAGTTCTGCAGCACACAGCCATGCTTGAAAACTCGGGAACATCAATTTTTGGTGTAGGTGTGCAAAGCAATCATGGCAAGACATAGGTTTCCTTCCACTACAGCACAGTGTGGTTTAGTGCAACAGCACCAGGCTGGAACTCTGGAGGTCAGGGTCAGACCTCCAGCCAGCCATTTCCATGCAGGGCTGCATCCCTCTGTGCCCTCTGTTTTCTCTTTTGCAATTTGATGTCCTTGTTTCTTGAGGATGATCTTGCTCTGCAAAGACCACAGGAAGAAAAAACATCCTAAGGTCTAACTTGAAGCAAGTCTATTATGTTGCCTCCCCTGAGCTCCATGGAAAAAGAGTTGTGAGTAGTTTCTCCATTGATTCAGGGTATCTGTCTTTGGGGCTGTTTTTCTGGAACATCTCAAAGCCAATCCCTAATTCCCCATTATAGGAATCTGGAGAGACTCACCTTAGCATAGCTTGGCTGAAGTGCCTGAAGAAACACTATGAAAAGAAAATAGTTTGGAAACTGAAGTGTAGTATGTTTGTCTTTGATCCAAATACTTTGATCTTTAAGGTATGAATAAGCAAATAATTCTTTTTCTTTTCAATTCAGTTCATCACTGTTCATCTTCAGTTTATTTTGGATGCACTTCTGAGAAGCTCTCACCTGCACAGTGAGGAAGGTTGCTCTGAAAGTAACGCCTCCTATTTTACTTTGTTGACCCACGAAGTCAGAGGCAGGTGTTGGTGCTTTGGCAGTAAGGGTTGAGCCTTCCCACCAATATCCCGTTACATCTTGTTACCATGTGACAGATGGCAGCAGAGGGGAAGTCTGACAAAATGGTGTTTGACATGGAACTTAGTATGAAGCAAACGTGTGTCACTGAATTACTCCATGCGGAAAAAATGGCGCCTGTTGACATTCATCGACACTTACTGAAAGTTTATAGAGATAACACAGTAGATGAGAGCACACAGAGATGGTGGGTGGTGTGTTTCAGCAGTGGCACTGGCAACAGTGGGTCACCTCCACTGGTGCAGATTGTTGTGAGTGCAGCATGCAGGCCTTTGTTCATTGCTGGTGAAAATGTATAGCTAATGGTCATAACTAAGCTGAACAGTAGTGTTTTATAGCTGAGAATCTTCTCTATCAAATAGTGTTATTGCGTGCTTTGTAGCTGTTGTTTTCAGGGAAGGCATTACTTATTACTACGCAATATAGATAAAATGAAGTCGGTAAGAATGAGCTATTTTATTTGGCTCTACAAAGAAATGATTGCAAGAGGTAACAAAAATATGATGAAAATATTGAAAGAAAACAATATTCAGAAAAACCCACGCAGTTTCAAGACTAAGCAGTAAAAATTAAGCATTTTGTTTTATTTTGAAATATAGTTTTCATATTATTTATCAGAGAGGGCTTTTTTCAAGTTTTCTGGTAGCTGCTCACTCCATTGTCTAGTCTGAATGGGTTTTTTTCTTCCTACTAAAGGAAAAGGAACAGAGATTATTTTTAGAAAAAAAATTTAATATTGGAAACTACAAAATTGAAAAAAATAATAACATTAAATTTAAATCAAAAAATCTTCCAGATTTTCAGATAGAAAAAAGATGACAAATGGTCCCGAATGTCTTCTTACTCACTAATGCTTCTCCACTAAAAAATTTAAGACATTGTTTCTCCCTTCATGTGCTCTGTGGTTTCTTCGCTTTCTCATTTATCTTAGATAATTATGTGTGGTTGTTTACTTTTACTCTCTAGCCAAGCTCTGGTAAAATACAAGCTTCTAATCAGGAGTGACAGTGATTCAGCCATCTATCATACTCATTCACAGCACCTATGGACTTAAGTATTCTTGCTATCTACTAACAGCAATGCTGAATTTCAGCAGTGAAAAAAAGAAAAAAAATAAGATTTATTTTTATATCAGGAGGCTACTTTTACATTGTTCACAAGGAGGAATGAGGTAAACCTTAGCATTACTGCCATTATTTTTCTTTTTTACTGAATATATGGAGAGTAGAGAACATTTACTTCCACAAATTCCTCAGCACTCCTCAGGTCACATCTGCACCGAGGCTCATGCCTGCTAAATGTTCAGGCATGCCTCCACCTGGTGCTTGGGGCTGGCATGCTATGAACATGAAGAGTAGCCTGGACTCTTTTCTGGAGATCAGTGCTTAAACTCCACCCTGCACCAGGGTGTCTTTGGATGAGCAGTGGCACTCCCAAGCATTTCCAGGCCTGCCATTGCAATCCTGATCCAAGTTTAGAACTACAGTAATCTCAGTTTACCACACTCTGCAGCATCCAAATTTGTAATTTTGTTTCTTACCTTTGTGTCCAGTTCATGCAGTAGCAATTTATGAAAAGAACCAGAGTCTATAGATGATAACGATCTCTTAAAATACTCTCCTGAAGAGCAGTGGAAGTACTGAAAGTAAGAAACTACAGTTTCTTTCATTTTCACTAGTCCTCATTTGTCTGTCTTCCTTCTACCCCCTCTTTCACCACCAGTCATCCAGCATTTGATGTATGGGGACACCATGTGCTATTTTGTCTCCCGGTCACTTTCATCCCTTCCTCTGCAATGTGTTGACACAAGCCCTGTGTTCACAGTGGAGCCCTGGCCAAAATGGCTCAGCTTCCTTCCCAGGGTGTCAGAGAGCCAGGAAGAAAGGTTTGTTCAAGACCTTGGCTCCCTCTCCTGGCTGGCTTTGCAGCAACTTACAAAGAGTCTTAGCCCTTCAGAAATTACTGTTTGCTTACTGCCAGTGAATACTTGAAACAAGAGAAGAGCACTCCGATGATGAGATTCTGGATTATAAATTAAAAAAAAAAAAAAAAAAAAAAAAAGTTGGAAGGTAAACTCGTTAAAATTGTAGTTAGTTATTTAAAGTTTTGGATACAGACAATCTAAAAATATTTTCCAGCTCCAGGACTTCTCAAATACAACATACAAATGAGAAAGGGTCTTTTGAAACTTTGTTTGTTTTTCTGGATTATCTGTTTTTTCTTCTGTCCTGCAGGCTCTAGACTGCTACTCAGTAAATGTCCCAGTAAAGGCTGTGTGTTATCCTTTAACACTGGTAGCATTCCCTCTACCTGCTAATTGCTTTATTTGTCCTTACTGCTTCCGTCCCCTCATCAACAAAGGCTTTAGAGTAAAGGGCAATGAGGTAGAACATGACAAGGAGAGTGGGAACCAGAAGAGCAAATATTTCTGTAATTACACAGTAGCCTGGAGTAGCTCTTCTCAAATCAATTATGTAGCCTGGATTGCCCAAAACTCTGAGGACACAGTCCTTGTTTTAATTTGCCTATGGAGCTATGTGCTCCAGTAATGGGCAAGGTTCTTTTCTTGTTCCCAGTTGCCTTTTATCAGAATCCACACAATTCCTTTCTTAGTTGTTATTTTTATCTAATTAGTGTATTAATAATGCATTGCACTTAGCACAGCTATGAATCAGTCATTTCAAATTGCTCTGCAAACAAATGAAGCTTCAGGTTATCTTGTTGGAAAGGTTGTGACGTGTCCATTTTACAGTGAGGCAAACTGAGGCAGACGATGGTAACAGAAAGGGATTAGGAAAAGCCCTGGAAAACCACATACAAAATCACAGTGAACTCTAGTCTCCAAGTGAATTGTCAGATGTGCC